ACGACCCTCCCGCTTCAAACAAATTGGAGCAGTAACGGATGCGATAATGAGAGAGGAATGGAACATTGTTCGAGTCCATTCCTCCGTCTGTCCCTCTCTCTACTTCTCTCTACCTTACCTCTCTCCCTCTCCATTTCTCTCCCTCCCCTCCCCTCTTTCTCCCCCCACTCTCCCTCTCTCCCTCCCCCACTCCCTCTTCTTCCTATTATCCTAACATACTGAGGGGTATCATCTAAAACTCACACCATTATCACATTCGGGAACTCACCTTCATTGTCATCCACTGTCATGTAACGTGTAGTAGCTGAAAACAAATTATTTTCATTAACATTAGTGAAATACATGAAAGATGACAGAGGGGGTACCTGATTGGCTGATCAACTAATTAACTGACTGGCACGTTGACTGACAACGTGCGTCTCCTTTGTTTGGATGTTCAATCCAATAAATCGTACAATGGAAATATGTACAATAAACAGTGATGTCGTTGCACTATGTTCCAAAACAACTATGTCTACCTTGAATTGTTGTCGTATTGCTTTCAGTCAGTTCCGTTGACCTCATTACTGTAGTTATGACCCCTTCATTTGCTGTTGTATACTCTGTATCGGTGACAGTTGTGTACTTGTTATCGACAGTGACTGGAGAGATTCTCCCTGTTGTAACCAGTGGGTCATTCATCGTAACAATAGTGTACATTTCACTCGTGTCAGTCATCATGGTGAGGTTTGTTGCGCCGCCTGCAAAATATATCACACTGAAAAGCTGGAATTGTACGTCTCTGTCACAGTGGTGCCGGCATCTATTCTATTCTATTCTATTCTATTCTATTCTATTCTATTCTATTCTATTCTATTCTATTCTATTCTATTCTATTCTATTCTATTCTATTCTATTCTATTCTATAGCCCAAGCTTTTAGCAGCCTTAACGACGGTAATCCGATAACCGACCTACTCTCAATTATCAGAAGCCCAATATATCAATGTGGGTGACAATATACTACGATACCAGCTACAATGAAATTATGAACACAGCAATTTGCGTTCCATGACTGGAAAGGATACATACTGGTTTGGGTACAGTGACGGGGTCAGGTGGTATTTGAAAATCAGTTTTTGCTTACCGCGATGAAATGCATCAGTTATTCAGAGCCACGTTAAAATGTTATCAGTGGAGCATTGAATTACACTTCTGTAGCTTCAAGTGGTCGACATATTGAAAAAGAAATCATTTCCTAGAAACTCAACAATTCTCGAAAGTCGTAAACGACCCAAGCGGAAACTTAGAAATTCCACTAGACACCGATTAGTGCAAGCTGTCTATATATTTTGTACAGTTCTTTGTACTCGATATGATATGCATTTTTGACGGGTCGTTTAAGATTTATTTTGGCTTTGGTTTATAGTGAGTTGATATATCCTTAAAGCGCGGTAGTCGTCTCGCTGCGCATGTGCCACATTTGTGTTGATAACCATTGATTTTCCCACAATCCAATGCGCTCTTCAAATGGAAATCACAAGTATGAGGTTTGACCTGGGCGGGACTTGCACTGATTGCCGCCGGTGACTCCTTCAATGCCTTCCAATAACATGAAAATTGCCTAATTAAAGCTTGGAAACGCCTCAGTTCGTACTCGTTGATCTGCGCAACAGTCAAAGTCGCCATCTTTGTTTATATGAGACCCATATATCTCGCACATGCGCAGCTCGACGACTACCGCACTTTAATTATTAGTTTTAGTACTTTTATTGATGAGCCCGGGTGATGAGTAGATTCAATCTATAACTGAATAAATTTAGTGACAGTTTGGTCTCTGATGGGATATACAAAATCACTATTTGGTCTATAATGGGGTATGTATTTTGAGGCGAAAATGTTCTATGACAGGGTATGTGGTTATACTTCCCGGCCGCACACCCCTACCAAACTGAAAGGCCAGTCACCCCACCCGGGATTCGACGTCACTGGAGTGCATCCTTGGTAACATCATTTGACCTCTGACCCATACTAGCGCGTGTACCTGAACGATGTGCAGTCAATGTACTAGTAACTGAAATAATACAATATCCCTAATACTGTCTATGATATAATTTATACTCTGGCCCATATAAAAAAACAAACAATATTCTTCATGTAAGCTTGAATTTTCAAATGAGTTTTGAGAATGGGAATGAGCAATAAAAAGGTCGTTCACCTTTGTAACAGTGTGAATACATGACAGTATTCATGAGGTCACATATACTAAATGCTGATCTGTTGTAGTATTGACACAAGTCGTGAGTCTGATAATGATCGCAGTGTCCTCCCAATGTATACATCGCTATCTAATACAATATAATTCCAGGTTTTTCATTTAACAGACAACTTCAAGCTGACATTGCGTTTAAATAAACAATCAAATGTCTTTTTTTGTTGTTATATTTTGCACTCCTGCACTATTTACAGCGTGGTTGAGGGGTTAGTTAAACACGTGTGGTAACCAACCGTATTTACGCTGATCGACTCTTGTATGCGTGTTGTCACGGGTCATATTGTTCTAGGGCGTACACCTGAGATGTACACAATACTATGATTTATTTTAGGTATTTATAACACAAAGTGTTTCGGTATTACAATGGAATAGAGATTAGAGTTTATAAAACATTTGGCATTGGAGAATCTGCCTTTAGCACTATGGGCTAAATGGCTCGATGTGTTGTTGGTGAGCTCGGTATGAGGTCGCGTAGTTTAAACACTTCAGTGGTTATCAGCGAATTCTCGGTGTTTTCTGTCGTCTACTAGTATTCGGACTACTAGTATATTGTCAATATTAAAGAAATCTCCTGTGCGACCAGTTTCTTGTTTTTTTCTTTTGTTTTTCGGCAATCGACACTGTTGTGTGTGTGACAATTGTGAAAGAAAATGGACTCACTTTACTTTCTGTGACCCGAGATCGTGACCTGTATATACATATATATATACGTGTATGTCTGCAGCCTAACGCTTGTGCTATGTAGTGTTTCGTAGGACGCCACAATAAGGAAATTGCCAGACGTTTGAAAACGGTTTATAGAACCCGGTACAGCTAATTGCACATCGTTCTAAGATCGTGTTTGGTGTAATAAGTTAAGACATAGTGTAAGTTCGCTTACCTTTGTGTACATTGACGCGTTTCCCTTAGATCAGTTTGTTGTTGATGCCAGTGGCCTACTAACCGGTGTCGGCGTACTTAAATACATCTGCTCTTCCAGTGTGAATGAACTTTGACCTTGCCACTAATTTCCACCGTAAGTGACCCACGTGACAATGTGTCATCAATATTCACATGACACTTTATTAATTGGTGTATCTGCGTTCATATTTATTAATACTGAGTCAGCGCTGTGACCAGTGTGTCACGTGAAAACTGTTGATCTTAAAAGTTTTCGTATTCAAGTTTTGCTTCTCAACTGTGCAGCATTGATACAACAAAGCGGAACTAATGGGTGCATATAAGAACTATATAGTATATTTAAAAATAGTATCTGAATGCCGCCACGTTGAAGGCAAACAAAGGATCGCTATATTTACATTCGCCATGTGTTTTAGGTTGTAGTTCCAAAATCCTTTATTTATTTATTTATTTATTTATTTATTTATTTATTTATTTATTTATTTATTTATTTATTTATTTATTTATTTATTTACACAAGACTGACTTTCGAAAGTACAGCAGTAAGGTCACTGAGAACTACAAGATATAATAAAAAATGATTAACAATCCACGATAAAGAGTGGTCACAAATTATAAAGTTACATTTACATATTACAAGATTCACTGTCCATTAACATACGAAAATAAACACATCTATAATAAGTAAACGCAGGTCACGTGACACATGCAAATATCTAGACATTTTCCAGCTGACAATGCGTTATTTACCAGTACATGGTATGTATACGTTACCCCATCCTCTATTTCCCCTCAAATTAATTTTATATGTACCTTTTGAGAGCCCCTTAGTTACCTAGAAGTGCATAAATTATACAACTTAATTGAGGGGTAAGTGGTGAGAGCATATTGGAAAGTCCTTCAGTTTGCTTTAGCAAAATATATGCCCCTTTGAAAACTTACTTAAAACATGCTTAAAATAAATGCATTAAAATTCTTTATTTAATATGTACTAAGTAAAGCATTCTTCTCACATCTATGGGGATAACTTTCATTATTTACTGCGTGTCGAACCGCCACGGCGCCAAGGGTAACATAATTGACATAAATAGCACCAGAAACAATAACCATCGAAAAATGGACACCCAGGTACATCTCGTATAAGTGTAAATAAGACAAAAGTGCCTGGCGTGGTTATGATACCACGCCGATTGACATTTTAGATTCTTTATTTTAAAATGTCCTGCAATATGCTTCTTATTTTCAATTAATGAAATTGGCTGGTTCTCTAAGCGTTCAATCCAAACCTAAAATTCGCTCGAGTGTGTCGCCTTCTACTGTCATCTCTGCCTCACACTCAAAACAGTTTTTCACTGAATAAATATTTTTAAGAATAAATATTCAGTTCTTTAGTCATGACAAGCATCAGTTAGATATATCGGCGATCATCGTGTTTTTTGCCAGAATTTTCGAAAAACACTATTGATCTGATAACTGTGAGCAAATTATTCGGAAAGTATTCTTTTCTGTGATTATTTGGGGGTTTTTATTAGTTTTTTTGCGGCTTAATCATATTCATATATCGCCAGTAGTTTGTGTTGAGCTCTGCAGATAATATCAAGTACATCCATCGTTTATGACGTTGGTGGCAGTATAACACACCACCAATGTTTAGTGCTGAAGTTTGTACTGGTGAATTATTTAACTATTAAGCTAAGTACAATCGCTACAAAAAAGTAGTTCCTTATGTATTATAGACTTATGACACTTCGTCAAAATCTTGACAGTGTAAATAACACTGAGATAGATCAGCTACGTCAAATGCAAACAACTCATTCAAGATGCGAACGGAAACACGTTAAACACCGTTTAGAAAATTCCACAATGAATGCTTTTAGATTAATCAAAAAAATTAACTAATTTAAACCAAAGTATTTCATATTGAAATTGTTGTATTCATAATGATAGGTTTTGTTTTGTTTGTTTTTTATTAGCCTATCAACTTATATTCTCTTATTTTACATCTTTCTTGTCTTGTCTTGTACCAGTGTTGTCACGTAGAACAGTAGATGCAATGATGGTAAAGAGTGGAACACAATTTGAATAACATAAACAAGTCTCGCGACTCTCCCACTGTCAACGAGATCTCAGCTGCCATTTATAAATTCGGCCTAGCCCTTCCGATAGCCACCCCTTGTATTCCCATATGTTACCCACAGTTCATAGCGTTTTAATTAACGTTTGAGCATGCTGATATGAAGAGGCAATAAAGCATGGCGGCATTTATCACGCTTCCTAGCTGTTGATCAAGACCGAGACCATGAATAAACTTGTCACAAATAACTACATTTTTTCGGAAAGTCTACGATTTTTTTTGAGATGTGTTGAATCCAAGTCATATTTTATTAATGTCATTTGATTTCTTTGACATATTTTGCATGTATTTACGCCACTGGAAAGTGGGTTGAAAATCTAGTCATTCGGCGTCGGTCATCTTTGTATTCGCCATAAAAATAGTAGAGCTGGAATTGTTTGAGCTGGTGTTCGAAAGTAAACTTTTAATGGCCTCATAACATTGTGATGGATTACTAATGAATAACTGGAATACAGGTGCCCGGCAATCATTTGCTAAATGAATATACTGAATAATGAATTCTAGGCCTAACTTTATCACTGTGTCACTGTTTATCACTACGGTAATTATAATGATACTCATTTCTTCAGGTAATTTGATGCAATAGAGCGTTGATATTTACGAGAACGTTGATATTTGTAGTTATGTTGAAAAGGACTCTGAATGTTCTGTAAATTTCATCTGTGTATACTAAGATTAAAATTACATAAATATTACAAACTGTAAACAGACATGATTCGAGCTTAATACAAACGCGACAAAGCGCCTTACCCGATGTAAGAAGACACGCACATTACGGTTCGAAATATTGTGTAATGACCGCGGACTTGCAGCGAGATGAGAAGCTTGGTATCAAGGGAATCGTCTGGATGGACAATATATACAATTTTGTAACTAAATATACACTGGGCTTGTGTATTTAGCTGTAATTCACATGAAATTCAATGGAAAGGAGATCGCAATGGATATTTTCTTTTCATTATATCGCGCTCTCTATTGGCCCTATTACTATGACGCCAACAAGGCTTAGTTGTAATGTCTGTGAATTCGATTTGGTTACGTAGTCGTTTATATTGTATTGTATTTTTTTTAAAATTCCGTACATTATTTTTAAGGGCGACCATATATCATATACGTTGTAAACCAATAGAGGGCGCAACTATAGGAACGATACATAGCATTATAAGGAAGCTAAGCATATAACAAGTATACGTGTTACTCAATGTTACTCTATATATTTATTACCAAACGCTTCAGCGTGGTATTAAGAGTTTGTTTTCAGGGGTGGGTGATACCAAGGTGGGAAATGGATGCACATATGGGGTTAATTCCTTGAATTGCAATAGAGAGGGTTCAGGCTGAAATACAATATATAGTGTTTTCATGTTTCGTCTGATATTTCTGTGGTATTCTGCTGCTGTAAGTAATGCACGATTTATTCCGAAATTCAGTATGTTGTGTGCATTCCAGGGTTATTCGTTTATTGCTGAAAACACCCCTATTTTTTAATGGCAGAGTCGAATAGTTTCACTCCCACTGGGAAATCTGCATTGTTGCTTGAATGAGAGCTAATTAAACACATTTTCCAGACCGGCGAAAGAGTATGCAACAGCCAATTTTAACAGCCTGTCACATGATTTTACTCTGAATGTCAACATGAAAAAGGCTAGTCCATTTCACGCAGGAGTAATTGGGAGTAGAATATGCGAGGGATAGTATCAACAGAGATGTGTATAGTGAAAAGTAATATCTATCCTTCTTTTGCATCTCTGAGCATTTCTGTTTTAGTATATTGGTTTGAAAATGTTGAACTTGCATGATTTGCAATGTGTTTTTTAACTGAAACTCCCCTATTGATCGAATCACGGGTTTGAACGAGAACGGCACACCACGTGATTCGTTTGAATACAATGCTGAAGGCAAACATGCGGTGCTACTGTGGTACTCCACTGACGGGATGACTTACTGATACTGCATGCTACAACTTCGCTTGTGATGTTGCTTGTTAACCATGGATCAAATGAATCTTGATTACCAGTTAAAATGTTGCTCATTTGGCGTTGGTAATCTTTATTTGGAACTGAGTAACTTCCTGGTACTTCGTACTATGATAAAACTCAGTCAACATACATCAAGTTCTCTCAATCGTAGTATTCCATGTGATGTACACCTAATATGCCAAAAATGTTGCTGAACGATTTGAACTGGATAAAAACAGCAGACGAAAATTTGTTTACAAAATAAAAATACTTTGGTTGTCAATGAAAACAAGCCGGTAAAAAACAAGCAATATGTTTTCGGCTGTACCATGGTAGACATGAACTTGATCTAACGTCGGTTATAACTAAACCGGGCACCTTATACGAGGTTCGCAAA